ACACACACACACAATTGGTAAGACTCTCGGTCTTTATTTAAATGTTAAAGATGTCACGTTTTAAACAATAAAATAGATATTTTAAAAACACATCATCTAAAATAAAAACTAAAATAAATTTTGTTTTATATTTTTTAAATTATCATATATAATATATATATTTTCCTAAAAAAGACGAGTCCTATTTATTTGTCAGTTATGATCTGAAAAATTCGTCTTCTTAATAGAAAAGATCTTATGCCTTATTTAAAAACTCATAAGTTTTTACACATTGGTCTTGTGCAAATTGCATTTAAACCTCTCACTCTTGAAGGATTACCAGAAAGCTTTCTTGCAGCCCTTAGGGATGGAAGAAATCTAAATTGGCAGCAATCCTTAATTGGAATGATCCAATCTAGTCTGGCACATGGCCCAGTCTATTTTGATGTTTATCCTAATTTGAGTCTTTCATTAACTGATGTTAATATTCTTGATGCTTTAACATTAGATGTTAAAACTAATGGTTATAACTATTCTGCAGGAACAGAAGTTTTCTGTATTTGTTATAGAATCTATTTTAAGCCTTTATTTACTCTTAATCCTAGATGTAAAAGAGTTGATAAGGATATTAATGAGACTATTCTCATAGAAACCAATTATAATAGATCTAAGATCCAAACCAGAAGATCTATCAAATGGGATGAAATAGTTTTCCCTGAAGGATGGTTTTTAGCTAGGAATATTCCTAGACAACCGATTGTTCAAAGTGATTTTAGTAATATCACTCAGACAGATGATGGAACTGTCTATGTTCAATTCGATGATCCTCGCAATATTCCTTACACTGAGACCAGACCTCTTTTAAGGTCTCATTCATTATCCCATGGAATYCATAGCTTTATCTCTCCTTTTGGAMCTAAAGCTAGTCAGCCTTCTAGGGCCTCGACCTCCTATTTGCGTGACACTCAGGCTCAATCTTCTGAGCCAGAAGAGCATATTGAATCTTCTTCCCAACAACCAATTGATGAACTTAGAGTTCATAGAAATGGTATTGTTCATAACAACCCAGTTACCCAAGCAAGTAACATTAATATCCGACAGCCTCATAAGGCTATAGAGACCATGTCTGATTTTACCCTCTAAGTTTTTAATGAATTTTTCTTCTTCAAGAAGTTGGGTCACTAGTGAGGGAAAAATTGATTTCACTCATGGTTCTCCTGCTAGACAACTTGTCTGCAACGATTATTATGGTAATCCGAAATGGGCTCCTTTCAGGACTTGGTATGTTGAAAACTTTTCAAAAGAAGAAATTGCTAATTTCTCTGCAGATTTTTATGCCTTCTGCACTAAGGAAAATGAGACTTTCTCTTTTATTCCTTGGTTTTTCCATACTCATGTAAAACATTTTATAAATGTTCTTCAAAGGGATTATCAACTCCTTAATGGGGATATTAAATCCACYATKTATCCTCCTCAGTCTCCTTTTCTTATGAAAAACAATAATTCTTTCTTCAGATTCTCTGCTTTTTCTAATCTTATCAAAGATAATACTCTTTCTGTTACTTCGTTACATATTAACGAATTACTGGAAAAGCAAAATTATTCTAATCTTTTGTTAAAAATTATTGGAGAACAACTTTTTTCAATTGAGGATAATATTTCCTTAATCTTAAAAAAAATTTCTCAAATTGAGACAAATCAGCAAAATCAAATTAATCTTCTTTTAAAAACTCTCAGGGTTTTAAGAAAAACAAAATTATTTGTCAAAATTGTGGCAAGATTGGCCATTCTTCAGCAAATTGTTGGACCAAGAAAAAGATCAATAATTTAAATATTGATCAGAATACGAAAGATTCTCTCTTAAACATCTTTCTAAATTTCAAAAATTCTGATGATGAGCCTGATACTTATTCTGATTCTAGCTCTACTAATAGTACTTATGTTATTGGGACAGATGACTCTTATTTATCTTCTGACTCTGAAGATTTACAATCTTCTCCTTGTGATACTTGCGCTATTGGTCAGCCTTGTATTAAAAACTGTCTCAATGTTATTCAAAATAACACTTCTACTGATAACAATGATGAGTTTTATAAACTCCTTTCTCAATTTCAGGATCTGAATATTAATGTTTTAACTGATG